CTCTTTAGATCCGACCTGGAGCGAATGCCAAAGTGCCTTGGGACCAAGGTGGTCTTGATGTGACCTTACACCGAGGTGAACTCGTCCTGAGGTGGTTTGATTATCCGAGCTCGATCTGTTGCGGACTTGGCATGTCGGGCTGAGTTATCATCTTACTAGTTAGGTCGTGTCCACGTGTCCCCCTGTTACTAGGTCGGGCCAAATCGCCCTTCATCAATTGCCCCCCACTCCCCGAGCCGGGGGTCCCGACCTGGTGCGGGGAGTTCATGACGAGTCCAGGTGGATTTGGCACGACGTCTAGGCGGTCTGAGCGGATCAATTGGTCGGACCTGTTCGAACATCCGGTTTAACCAGTCGTAGCCCAGGTCGCGTTGGGCGTACGCGCAGACATCACACTGTTTTATGGACTCCGCGGACGTAAAAAACGCGCTCAACCGATTTTGTCCTCGGGCGTCGTGCAACCGGTTTTCATGAGAGCCGTTGGATCGAGCAGATCTCAACCGTTAATCGCCTCGCGGTGAACTATAAATAGGAGGCCGAGGGACCCCTCTTGTTCGCCAAAAATTCTGCAATTGAGCTCTCCCGAGGTTGCGTCGGAGTCTTTTAGTTCGCTCTTTCTTTGTATTCCGAGGTCGTCCTTCTCTTGGTGAGTTCGATGGCCCACTTGTTAGTCTGCCAGATACCTCGGGGCTTGAGTAGGATTTGCCTCAAAGACTTGTTGGTGAGGACAACGACGGTGTGGGCTTGGAAGTATCGGGGTCACCAGGAGCTCGGAGGACAAAGGAGATGACCCGGACAGGAGGGGAGCGGTCTTCATGGCTTTCGAGCTCGCCTCCTCTTTACCTTTAGGCTGCTCAGGCTGACTAGGTCCAGCGAGCTGGCTTGGAACTATAGTTCGACGTGCCTTAGGACGCCACCTTTGCTGCTTCTTGGCTGGCTCCGCATTGGTGCTGCTAACCTTAGTGTGGTCGGGTAATGTCCTAGCACGGAGTGGTTCGAACTGCAGACACTGGCTGTTGTGAACGGAGGGGCCTTGCCCGGAGTCCGCGGCTAGAACCCCGAACCGGTTCCCTGCAAGCGAACCTTCATGTTGCGAGGGCCGAGGTGAAGTAGCTTTGGCAGGCTGAGTGTCTCTCGACCTATTCACGTTCTGCGAAGTGGGAGGAGTAACTTGCCTTTCCCTCTTGCCGCGGGACGAGACCTAGCTCCCAAGGGGATGCTGAATCTGGGAAGTCTCTCCCCGACGAGGAGGGCGAGTGTTCTGACGACGGGACTTATTTTGTTGTGCTATCGGATGCCGAGGTGGAACCGACTGTTAATTCTGCTGTAGCGGTGGGAACTGCTGCTGGTGAATGTGGTGTAAAACCTGTTGCTGGCAGTGCTGAAATTGTTGGGCCTGTTGCATTTGGGCTTGAATAGCCCGCACGCAGTGTACCAGGTCGTCGAGCTGATGCTATCCGACTCCAGGGGGAACCACAGATGGTTCAACAAAAGTTGCACCCACTACAAGAGGAAGTGGGGCATTCACTGGCATAGTTGCTTGAGGCACAGTCAGCGTTGGGACCCCACCCACGGAGAGAGGTATGGTGAACTGACCGATGCATACGGTCGGGATATGAGGTTGCCCCCCGGAGACATTCATCTCGTTATTTTGTCTGGCGCTACTGGAGGATGCCATGGATTCTGGGTGAAAAGAGGCTACTCATAGCGTTTCCCACAGACGACGCCAATTGATGTAGCGCAATCTAGTTGCTCCCAGCTGGAGGTGATCTGGCTTCCAGATGGACGGCGGACTAAACTTGCAAGGATATCAGAGAACCCGGGGATGCTAACCCGGCGAGGTCGCTCCGATGCTTAAGTCAGTAGGCTAGTAGCGAGCTGAAATTGCATTGAAAGTAGAGAGCTTGAGAGCAGGAAAATCACACATACCTTGCACCCCCGGAGGGTGGAGCCTTTATATAATGGAGTCCTCGCAAGTTTCGCGGTGCGGTTCCGAGATCCTCGTCATGATGAGATCCGTTTCCACGATAATTGGGGGACAACTGATAGGGTTTATCGAGTCCGCCCGAATCAGTCGGGGGAGATAAGGCTAGCCGTTACGCAGTGTGATCCCACAATGTTCGGAATCTGATGGCTAGATCTTCGGGGTTGCCATGTAGTGGTCTGTCAATATTACCCGAGCTACTGCACTTTAGATCCGACCTGGGGCGAACGCCGAAGTGCCTTGGGACCGAGGTGGTCTTGATGCGACCTTACACCGAGGTGAACTCATCTCGAGATGGTTTGATTATTCAAGCTCGATCTGCTGAGGACTTAGCACGTTGGGCTGAGCTGTCATCTTACTAATTAGGTCGTGTCCACTTGTCCCCCTGTTACTAAGTCGGGCCAAATCGCCCTTGATCAATCCCGTTAAATTCCTTATTTTTGTGGACCAAAAACCGTGTGAATTGGAGGTGGTTCACACAAGTTAGGCAATTTATGTTGAGGCTAGAAAGGGTTTCTATTCAATGATCCACTCTACAAATTTATGTTTTTAGTAAATAGGGGTCCCTCATCAGATGTCACTTGTTAACCACTGAATTAGTAACAGAATACAAGTTGTTGGGATTAATTCATCACAATATCACAATACATGGTATAGACGTGTAGCATGAGCCTGAGCTTGATGCTCTATCTCATAAAAGAAATACCAAAATCTTCTCTCTCTGAGGTTTGTAGAGGTTTATCTGTAAAGGGTTCCGGATCTTCATTGAAAAGAAAATCCAAAGGATAACTTAGAGATGTAGAGGAAAGCAGATAAGAATTGCTTATACTTCATTGTGAATTTCACAAGCATTAATATATGAGAATGAATGAGAACAACTTGTCGATTGAATTGAATATATTGAACCCGGATACTATTGATGAATATCGGGTAATCGGGCGAGTCAAATTAAGAGGTACCCACACTGAAAGATGGTGAGCAGAAAGTTTGGTAGTGGCATTTGTTGTGTGGAAGAGAGAGTTGGGGAAGTAAATAAGGCTGTCGATTCATTTTGGTTAGATTTCGTTTTCGAAGATATATGTTATATTCTTGCATTTATGGATATTGTAGTCATGTTTCTTTCTTTTTGGCCCACTTGATCTCACATTAGGTACGTCCTTCATAAAATTGTCGGTTCTCCATGTAGGAGGTACTCTCTCACCCTGTATGGATCCGGGCCGTTCAACTTCAACCTATTACCTATTGCGTTCTTTTAGTTTTGGAAAATGAATAATGTTGAATTCAACCATCTTAACCTATTCCCCGGTTTTGTGCTTCTGAACACCCGGAGAACTCAACCCAACACCAGTCCCAGTCCGATTTCTTTTCCTCTTGTTAATCACTCCGGATTGATTTTCTGCCCACTTTCTCTACCCACACTCTATTTACATTCTTCCTGCCTGAATGCCTTGATTTTCAGCGATACATCCGAGTTCGGATCTCTTACCTACAAGAACTCTATCTACATTTACTCACGTCTCATTATAGTTATATATTGAGAACATCTCACATGTTTGTATGTTATCATTTACAGGAAATGTCCCCAATGTACAATTGTAATGTTATGTGAGAAGTTGGATTTGACATATAATTTGGCTGAATTTAGTATAGGATTTGAGTGGAGTCTTAACAAAGCGGGTGTTGCTAGAAGGTAATTCCTTCCTATCTCTTCTTGCTAAGACATTAATCTAATTAATTTCCTTTGCAAGTTAGTTGGGTTTGTTCTTCCATTTGTCTGTGTTTACCATTAGAAGAAAAATCAAAAGTTGTTAGAATAAAGAACCAAAAAAATGAATCTATCAATGGAATTTTAGAGTAGCTTGAGCAACCAACAATACACTAGAAGAGAGAAAGGGTTTATAAATAGGGGTGTCGATGGTATTCGAAAATCCAATTTCGAATTCAATATTCGGCATAATAGAATCAAATTCGAATATCTAATTGGTTGAATTCGGATATCCTATTCTTGACGAATAGTTAATCGAATTCGAATTCGGATATGACCTGATTCGATTCGATAAATATCCGAATTCGATCGATTATTTAATTCTTATATATAATATATAAAATATTGTATATAATTTATAAATAATAATTAAGTTATATAAATAATTTATATATATAATATATTTATATACTTTATATCAATAAAATATCTATTATATATATATTAATTATCTAAAATAATTAATTAATCGAATCGAATATTTGAATATTAATTAGATTCGAATTCAAATATTAATTTTCAATATTCGTCAGATATCGAATCAAATTCGAATTCGAATATTGCCTGATCCAATTCGAATTCGAATATTGCCTGATCCAATTCGAATTCGATTCATTTACACCCCTATTTTATAAATTAGGGTTTATACGTAAAAAGGGCAAAATAATCTAAAAATGCACAAAAAAGTAATTTTGGTATTATAAAATATTTCACTGACGAAATACTAACTAGTAGACCTAAACGTCTATTTTTGAAAGTTCGAAATACCTAAGTGTTCGCATTCAAAAATTCAAAGTACCTAAGTATTACTACCACTAAATTACAGTGTACTTATCTAAATATTTTATGAACCAGGTGATAAAAGCAGAAAGCTCACTGGACGACCCAACTAGCTAACGGGCAACCAATATATACACAATGCAGACTCGAATGATTTACTGCTATCTCATTGGACATTATATTATATATAGCAACTTATTTCCACCGCCCAAATAATTGCATTGAAATTACTTTGGCTCTTTATCATCTTCTCTGCAAACCGATCTCTGCCAGTGTTAATCTCCTCACAAAGTGACAAGGACTCATACAGTGTGGGCCCCGATACATGACACGTTCGACACCTGGAAACTTATGGGGCCCAGACCTGCTTTCTACTTTCTCTTACCCAACATACATATATATTGGCTTGTGGAAATTCTTGCTTGGGTTATACTTGTTTTAAATTTTAAGGTTGGGTCGGTCTGTCTGTCGTCTCAACAACATCGTCCATGGCTTGTAGCAGGTGATTGACCCAATGGACGTTAGGTTAGAATCAAGATGACTGCAGTAACGTTATTGTAAAAAGAAGTAAGAAAATACAGAGTAATAAAAATGCTTTTTCAATCTTCATCCTAGCTAATAGGTACCGAAGACCAAGCGGTGAGAGTCTTCTCTCTCCTTCCTCATCTTGTACTCGGGGCATGGACTGGGCTGCTCCTGAGATTCATGGATTTTCGGGATCACCATGCTCCGCCGCGAAGGTTGCGCAATTGGTTTAAGTGGAAAAACAAGGGGGAACGCCAATTTCATTACAATGAAGTTTCAGGTTAAATGAAATGAATTTCTCTTTACTTTTCAAGTTCTTAAGTGCAATTTATTTTACGAACGCAATTACTGTACACATCTGCACCATGCTTGATTTTGTGTTCTGGGAACATTTGTGTAGATTCCGATGAAGACGAAGACATTGATTGCTCGGAGAACGGAAGTGCTAGGTCCTTGGACATGGGATCTTTCATTCTAACAAATGAGCTCAGGTGTCAAATTTATTTTTGTTTGATTAGATCTCAACAAAGTTTTCCATTTAAAGAAGATCAAGGAAGAATAAGTTCTGAGTTTCACTTTTTCTTTGTTATCACTTCTATCTGTCAATGGCAGAGTCTTCGTGGGTACATGGAATGTTGCTGGAAGGTCTCCTGTAGGGAGCTTAGCTGTAGACTTGGACGACTGGTTGAACCTCAAGGACCCAGCTGATATTTATGTTCTTGGGTATGTATTGATCTGGTATATATGCAGTCAATTAATTAAGCTTATTTAAGAGCTACGGCGTCTGTATCTGTGCTGCCTGGTTAAGGACAACGATTAAATTAACGTTCTTGCAGCTTTCAAGAGGTTGTTCCTTTGAAGGCTCGTAACGTGATCGGAGCAGAAGATACAACGGTGGCAACAAAATGGAACTCCCTCATCGGAAAGACCCTCAACAATAAATTTGGGTGCCCTTGGTTGACGCCCATGTTGCACCCGGTCTCCGGCGACAATTACTATAATCGACAAACACCAGGCCACGTCACGACCCCTGCGAGAGACCGGCCGAGGACGACGCTGCAAGAGGAGGAAGCAGATGGTGCGTCCAGTAAGTACAAGCTGATGGCGAGCAAAAAGATGGTCGGCATATTCATTAGCGTTTGGATGAAGAGGGATTTGGTTAAGAATTATTGCATCTCCAACGTGAAGGGCTGCTCAGTTGCTTGTGGAATTATGGGTTATTTGGGAAACAAGGGATCGGTTTCAGTTAGCATGTCGATCGAAGGAACCAGTTTTTGCTTTATTGCTGCGCACCTAGCTTCCGGTGAGAAGAAAGGCGATGAAATGAGGAGGAATTATCAAGTCGCCGAGATCTTCAGACGAACTTCATTCCCTCGACTCCCTCAGGATGACGATAACCCACATCCTCTGAGCATCTTAGGACATGAGTAAGTAATCATCCTCCCTCCCTCACTCTCTCTTTCTCTCTCTAACAGAGAAATAAAGGAGGTAAGTACATGAACCTTCATTCATTGAGGACTCTGTTAATTTCAGAAACCTCTGCTAAATCTTCTCAAGTAACACTGGACCACTCCCATCCCACTTGTGCATGTGACACACCAAATCAAGGTTTACGACACATCCATTATTGAGTTTCTATTCTTTTCGTCATTTTCTTTTCTTCTGAACCAAAGCTATATTATGTTTAGAACCGGACAAACCTCCAAGAGGTTTCGGACACATTTGGAGAGACATCTGAACCAATACCTTCATAATGTTTATGGCTGCAAACGGAATGGATTCGAAATTTCGAATTGGATTTACCTGGGTTCAAGTTTGACCATTCATATATATTATTTGGCTCAGATAGTATATATTATATATCATAAAGCTAAAAGTTAAAGTTTGAGACTTGAGAGAGCTTACAATATTCAAAACACATTTGATACCAAACTGTGTTTAGTTTTATATAGATATATGCATATACATTGTAAGATTCAGGGGTTGGAATTGGAGTCCCCAATAAAACACAGACACACACACACTAGCAATCCACTCAAGGAGGGTATCACCTGGTGTTTTGCATTTAAGCAAACAGCTAGGGACCATGTTGGTGTTTTATAAGGTGGTCATCAAAAAAATTGGTGAGCAGATGTGAACAGCTTCCATTTGTAGCCCTAAATAATAATGTGAATGGCCACCTCCCCAGCATGAGGCATTGGAACAAGGTCTGAGAACCACTGATCAATTACTCCCATTTATATCAGTTTTCAAAATCAAAATCAATACAATGTGCATCAAATAATTAATATGGCATGCATTCACAGAGAAGAATAAGTCTTATAAGCAAAACTTATAAGGCACTCATGATCTTTGGCCTATTTCCTCTTCCACTTATTATATGTACTTGGCAATAATAAGTTTTAGCAAGAACCCTTAATGGGTCCATGGATAAGAATTTTTTGAAAATAACACAATTAACTGATAGTCTATATTTCTCATAAAGCTATTACTTCACCCCTATTATTGTAAATTTAGGTTTTTATAATTGTAACAAGGAGACATTGATATTTTTTTTGTGTGTGTGTGTGTGTGGAGGGAAGAACCAAGCAAATAAGGCGGGGAATAAAATGACTCTCACCATTTATAATGTTTATGTGGAAAACCATAAAAAAAAAAAACAAGTATATGAAAATGTGTACTACAAGTCATAGGACCCATCTTAATATGGATAAGAATTGCACAAGTAACCTAGACATATTACTTCACACTGAGGTGTGGGAGTTACCCATCTGCACGAGTGTGGATAGGTGGAAATACTGCTGGACCTCAATTAATAGGGCCTGCACTCCGGCACAGTAGCTTTCAATACGTTAAATACAAAATCTGGCCCACTTTTCTCCCCCAAAGAATCTGTAACTAATTTCTTGTGGGATGGCCCATCTACTCCCCCTACAGTGTTTCACCCCACTACATGCCAAAGTTACCGAAGGCCTCAAGGTGATATTTATGTTGGGGATTTCAGGATGACTGGAATTGGCAGGGACCAAGGTATGTCCCAACCCTTAGAATTTGAGCAAATTAAAGATATGAACAGTCCGTCCCACTTGTGTTTTCGGCTTTGATTTCATGTAAGGGGCCGGCCCATGGTCTTCCAGAGCCCACCGAAAAGCCTTTACTGTAGTAGAGTCCAGCATTGCATGTGATGTGGTGTTGTATTGTGCTGTGCATCTCCTAGTTTCTGCACGCACCATTGAGTGTGTGTGTATTTGTGTGTAAATACAGAATGGTGCGTTTAAATTATCAGAACTTGTTGAATATGAATTCTAACAAGGTTTGTGATGAAACAGCCGGATATTCTGGCTAGGGGATCTGAATTACAGATTGTGCTTGGAGGACGGTTTGGCAAGGCAACTGATAAGGAAGCAAGACTGGAGATCATTGCAAAAGTTTGATCAGCTTCGGAAGGAACAAGAGGATGGTGGCGTCTTCCAAGGCTGGAGGGAAGCGAGCATAGAGTTCGCTCCTACCTACAAGTACTCTTCTTCCAACTGTAATCGTTACTCCGGTGGTCTCCCTAGCAGAGCCGGAGAGAAGCAAAGAACTCCAGCATGGTAGGGGTATTGTAGTTACTTACTTGTTTGTGTTCCCTCTATGACTTGATTTAGGTTGCCTTTGGATAAGCTTCTACATTTCTGCATTTTAAACCCCGAAAGCATGAAGCCCATTTTCAGGTTGGGCTTTGTGCTTTGGAGCTTAAAGTTCCTTGGCTTTGGATTACAACAATGTTTCCGAAAGTAACTCTTACCAAATGCTCTTTTTGCTCCATTTTGTTTCCTGAAACTCATCAAAAGCAAACATTTATCCAAACAAACCTTAGTTTGGGTCTAAATACAAGGAGACACTAAACTTGCCGGTGGAGATTAAAGTGGTGTTTTTACAACATGTTATGGAACTATGTTTTGTTTTGAAGAGAAAAACCATTAAAAAAACATGTTCTTTAATGGTTTTTGTGCATTATGATTGGGCCCCTGGTTAAAATCGGCTTTACTTTCCTGTATAAAACTTATCTATTTTTCAAGTGGATAAATAACTTTTCCCTGGGGGATTTTACAAAATATGATAGGACAATTTTGACAGTTTTAGTATTGATTTTTTATGGGTAGAATCACCTGGGTAAATTTAATATATGTTTGACATCGATATTGTAGATACAACACCTTTTTTTCACCTGGGTAAATTCAGAAAATAGTGCTGCTGATGTGTGGGTTGGAAGCACCGCTTTCTAAGAAAATGATGTTTTTTTTTTTTTTTGTTTACAAACGTTACTGCCAGGCAGGACGTATCCTGGAGCAACAGTAACGTTTTCAGATTGATACCAATGCTTCAGAGAACGTTTTCCACACTGGTATCTATTATCCAGTGCCATGTCATGTCTCTGTCACTGCCACCTCATGTCCCTATTGACAGCAACGAGCTGCAGCTGCAATTTGGCGTTGCTTCAAGCAGACGCTTAATTACCTCTGCATGAGTTGCAAAGTTCTAAACGAATGAGAAAGAGGCTTTAGTGTAACGGTATTCTTGTGGTTGGGCATTCAATCAATGTCTTATGTTTTCTGCTTTAAAAAAAAGAAAGAAGTAAATTAATGGTTAGCCAAATAGATGAAGGGTTGATGTGTGCAGGTGCGATAGGATCCTGTGGTATGGTAAAGGCGTAAAGCAACTGTGTTATCACCGAAGCGAGAGTAGATTCTCGGATCACAGGCCGGTTTGTGCTGTCTTCTCCAGCCAGATCGAAGTCGTAAAATCCATGAATCCCCCCAAGGTTACCAGTGTTGCGGTCATCTCTCCCCTGATCACCCAGAGCGTAAGTATTCTTGACCATCAGCTCTACCTCTGTGTGCTCACATTGTAATTGAATGTCTTCTTCATCCATGCATGAAGCATATATATGGTGGGTCATATAAATATACAACCCATGTCCCATGCACCATGAACTGCCAAAAGGAGATGATGAATTTGATACATGCATATGGGAATGGGGGGACATACAAAAGGATTTTCAGACACATCCAACTGAGAAGATGTTTTATTGGCATGGCCCCGAGAGATCTCCCGGCCAATAATATTAGTTAATTGGCATGCCTGATTAGTGGCTGCAGGCCTACCGCCTTTGATTTTCTTCACAAACGTAGTTTTGTATTCAATGGCAGGAGGGAAAGGTCGAGGGCAGGAGTACGCTACAGGCATCGATGATGAGAGACATTAATGAAGCATCATCCAAGAAGACACCGTTGCCATTCCCATCCTTTTAAATAATTTCTCATAGCTACTATAGATGCATCACAGCTGCTGCTATTGCTAACGCACTATATCTTCATCTTATTTGATTTGTATAAAACTAAGACAGGTCTTTCCGCTTTCCTTCTTGTAACAGGCCGCACCACCACAAATAACTGTTTGTTGTATTTGTTGTTGGACGAATTAAAAGCTTAACCCGACCCCCCTTTTTTTTTGTCTAAAATTCATCATGAGTTTTCAGCATTTCTCTTAAATTCACCACAACTTTTCAAAATGTCTAAAACTCACCATATGCCACTAACTTTATGTTAAACAAACCAACGAGTGTTAATTAATATATTACCATTTTAACCATCATAGAAAAATATAAAATATAGAAATTACGAAAATATAAAAAAATATAGAAATTACAAACAAAATAAAAAATTATTTTCAAATTATAGACACTATAGAAATTGGATAACAAAATCAAAAAATAAAAATTGTAGAAAAATCTACTCGACTGAGACGAGTAGATTGACCGACAGATCATGAGGCATGAGGGAACGTCTAGATTGGGGCCGGGGCCGGGGGGCATCTAAGACTGACTGGCGTATACTAGGCAAGACATGTGGTATGAGTGGAGATAACGACAAGGTTTACTCAATTGGAAGATAAATAGCGGCACTGTACTTGCTGTCCTCCTCTCTCAGTCCGGTTTTCCATCCCTGATCCTGACCTGCACAAAGATTCCAAGTTTTTGTGCCACCCCCTGTGACCCATTGTGTGGACTGAGGAGTATTAAAGTTGTGTGCACAGAATCAGCCACCAAGTCCACTAGTCTTTGCCGTTGTGGGGATAGCACTTGTTTAAAATGTTCAACAGGTGTTAATCAAAATCAAAAGGAGACTAAGGAGTAACACCCATTAGCTTTAGCTTCTTAATTGCATTTGCATTTTGCCCACCACTTATTTGATCAACCGCAGGTTTACCCTTTTCAGGCTCTCTGCGACACGCTAAAACACACTACACGACCCTTTAATACATTATAATTTTATTACTAATGTTGTGTTTGATTTTGAAAGAAAACATAAGAAAGGAAAGATAAACCTTTATAAATTTTGTACAGATTCACCTACTTTTCCCTTCCTTTCACTATCTTTTTTTTTCAAACTAAACGTACGTCACACCTCTTCATAAAGTAATAAATATTGAAGATATTAGGATAGAAATGCAAGGAGCATGGAGGATGGACACTATCATAGAATAGGTAGGGCCGAATCAGCTGGTAAGCAACCGTGCCAAACCAATAATGCTACTTAATTTGTTCCCCATGGCCTAAACCAAACCCCTAAAAGAAGAGAGAAAAAAAAATATATAAAAAGAAGAAAATTAAATCCCCAGCCAGATATACATAGAATTGAAATTGCATTGCACATGGGAATATCCTGTTGAAAATATGCGTCGTGGTGGGTGGGGTTGTGAATCGGTCCTCCATTACCCACTACCAAGGCCCTTGCTTGTCGGTCGTCCGAAAGGCCGAAGGCATCCATGACCATAATCCATCCCACCAGAGAGACCTGTGGACCTTATAACCCATTTGTCTTTTGGAGAAAAGGCACATACATGATACATGCACAACACAGGTAATGCCACATGATGGGAAGCACCTCGGGTTGGCAGTTGGCTTGGTTTTCGTTTTCTTGCCGTGAAATCACACACCATGTCATCATTTCACCAAAATCTCATTTCGACATGCTTAAACTATTTCTTACAACTTCATTACACACATGCACTGATACCCATTTTAATCATCTCCTAGCCTTTCTTTCTCTCTTTTTTCATTTTGATCAAAGTTTTGGCCTTCCAAGACCCTTCCGATTCGCCCCTATAATGGGTGTATCGGGAGTCTAACCGGTTCAGATGGTGGAGGAACCCTAAACCGATCCCCCAAAACTAGTTTCAAAAAAAATTAAAAAAAGGCACAAAAATGTGTATCAATTCACCTAATACGCCCCTATATTCTAGTCCCTTCAATTTTGTTTCTCTATAGTTGCTGTGATGATCTTCTATGTATGCATGTAACCAAACCATCCTAATTTCGATTTTTCTAATATCACCTAGCGTATTCTATTTTAATCCTACTTATTTTTTTAACACTACAAAGTGCAAATCATGTCTAAGCAGCATGGTTTTTAAAACCAACCCTGTGAACCGGTCAGGGGTCTGGTTATCAGACCAAATTATCCAACCGATTAACCGCCCGGTTCAGCGGGTCACTCACCAAAATCAACAGTTTTGAGGAGAAATTCGGCTTTTGAGAAAATAGAACCGATTACCTGACCGGTAACCAATTTTTCCGATCCAACCATCCGATCCGATCCGGTTTTGAAAACCATGCTAAGCAGAAAGACGAGGGGAGTGGGCATCATCTCCCTTCTATCAATGTTTGGCTTTGGCATGCTAGTAAATGATTTGCATACTGCTACGGTTGCTTAATGGTAGCAGTCTCAATACCACTACCACCTCACATGTACTCCTTTGACACGTAATGTAGCAATTAAAGAAATCGAGAATGAAAGATGGGTAGAGAACCACAAGAAGCCTATTCTTTCTATGTACATTCTACTTCTTTCCCCGTTTCCCGTGTACATGGCATCTGATGTGTGGATCAAATGCAATTACATCGATTTTCCCAACTTAACCGAGCACTGCTTTTATAGGACTATTGAATGAATCAACCTGGTGACTGCCTAGCATCTGAATTCAGAACTTTTGGCCTTTTTCTTGAGTCACAATTCACAAGCTAGTCTTCAAGGTAGATAGACCAACTTCTCTGAAAGAGAGATCTTTGATTGATGTAACCATCACGGTGGCCTTTGCCTTGACCAATTCCGAGTCTTCTCTCCTCACTCCTCCGACAAACTCAACATCCATTCCATTTATGCGGATGACCTGATAATTAATACATAGAAGAAAAGGGAAATGGATGAGAATGCACGGCATAGCAAGCATTACGCAACCATTAGTGCAAAATGTGTAATTTGCAGAAAAAAAAAAAAGATAGGAGAAAGCAACTCTCGATGCCATGTATGACCCTGACTGATGGTGACCGGGAGAGAAAATAAGATACAACAGTATGAAAATCCATGAGCTCATATGGATCAGAAATACGATATGGGGTTCGTTCTATGCCGTCATTTAAATCATGTTCAGACAAGGATATAGACATGCAATATATCAAACCTATGCTGAACATGGCTTTCCCCGTTCTTAAGTAATTGTTTTTTTTTTTTTTGAAGGAAAGCAATTGCCTATTAAACCTTTACAGAATTTGAAAAGAAATTGAAATGCTAACAGCTTAATTACAATTCAACTATAGCCATTTCCCTGTATACTGAGATTTAGAGAGAGAGCAGATAATACACCCCGCCCACAATCCAACAATACCCACATCCAACTAAAAGATTATATAAGCAAGTTGCCTATTCTAGTGATCAATTATAAGACATTCTAATGTCATGTTAAAATCCACATATATAAAGAAATAGAAATATAGGAACAAAGTATATTTTCCACCTTCACTCACCTGCAGATCACATCAGCTGGCAATACGCCAGTGACCAGAGAAGCCCCATCAATTCCACTGCAATTGGAAGTTTGCCTCCCCTCAGGATCTTGGTTCACTTTCTTTGGTATTTGGTTTGAGTAAACCCCTGCACTCCCCCTGCAGTCACTGTGAATTTCTGCCAATGGATTCATGACAAGTTCACTGTTCCCTTGGAGCCGTAGTTTCCTGTTATCCATCTTAAGAGGGTTAGAATTGCCATCTTTCTCCATCATGTTCCTCGTCATGGCCAACGATGGTGAGACCCCAGCAGAAGAGAACCTAGAAGTTGAGTATCGGCCTTCTGTTCTCTTCCAGAACTTGGAGCTGAGGAATTCTGCACCAGGTAACATGCAACATGTGTTTCCAGCAGTGTCAGTAGTTGATATCCTTCCTGTTGATACAGCCAAGTCATGGGAAATTTCATCCAATGCCATTTCTAATCCATGCACACGGGTCTCCAGAGAACGCATCCCATTCTGTGAGCTCCCAATGAACCTCTAAATTTAAGAAGACAATATAAAATCAGAACTGGCTGTAAAATTGAAGTGTACCACTACTATTATCGGCATATACCTTAAAAGAACAGATAGGTGTTGGAAATTGACTCATCCATAGACCACCATAAACACTTAATATGCATGTTCAATGCAGTTTTTAAATCCAAATATCTAAATTGGGGATGCTTTTGACAAATCAATTCCTAAGTCGCTATTATAGGTATACATGTTCTTCGTTAATGCTCTATCTACAAATCTCCAAGTCATTTGAAGACAGTTGGAAACAGCTACAGGTGGAGGATTTATCAGAATAAAAAATAAAAAGCAAAATGAAAAATAAAGTCCTGTCATTGAGAAGATCCAACATATGGTGGATAATGATGGAAATAGAATTCTGGACAACATGATTAATCCTAATATACCATACATAGAAGGAAAGAACCAATCAGAAAATTGGGCAAAAAAGAATTAAGCTTCTACGACATACCTGGAGAAGATCCAACAGACTGGATTGTTGGTTCTCAATTTGAAGAAGCTGTTTTCGGATCAAAGATAATTCCTCATTGTCCTTTTGGTTCCCATAGATCTCTTCCGTAGCATTGCTAACCACAACAGTGGATTCAAAGCCCTCCTTGTCATGAAACGGGACAACACGAGACCCCGATCTCAACCCACCAAACCTATACCCCTTGTCTTCTAAGTTCTTATTAAAGAGGGCTCTTTTTGTTTCAGGCCTACTCTCGTTTTCCACTGATTCAAGAATCCTCCCGTCTCTGTGCTTAGAATCATCATCGCATAACACAGTAAAAGACTGGGCGTGAGGAACAGCAATCTCAAGTTTCCAATCAGCCGGCTTCTTACAATCCAGTTTGCGAAACAAGGCTGGACCCGGTTTATTGTCAGTGATCTTCAAAGGGCTCCTTTTTCTAGCAGTAGTTTCAGATGAACTATATGGTGGGGATGACCTGCTTGTCGTGATGGTTTTCTTCCTCGTTTGTGGAGTTTCAAAGCCCAAAGAACCAGAACTTCCAGAACAAGGAGGGAAGCGCCCGTCGCTGGCATTCTCTGTTCGTGTTAAAAACCAGAAAGCATAAGATATCATAGAGGTTCCACCAATGGACAACAGCTTGAGAAATCTGAACAAGGAGAAAAGTGAATAACAACGAGAGATGCAAGAAAGATATACTTATATTGAAATCATGAAATAATGCAAACAAATACAACTTGGAGAAGGTAAATCTTTACAGATGAATATCAGAAGCTGGAATTCACAGCCTAAAATCATAATCCAATTATACAAGTATCTCTAATAAAGATGAGGAAAAGGAGCCAATTTACTGCCTCTATATCCAGACAAATATATTAGCATTTAATGATAGAACAACAAACAAGAACGCCCTTACCTCTTGAAGAAGATTTGGATTGGGATGACGGAGAGACCTCATCAGGAGGGCCAGGAACATCCTTCCAGGCTTCCAACATACGGTTCATAGTGTCTCGAACAGCCTTCACCTATAAAAACATTGAAATGCAATTAACCAAATATCGCAAAGCTCAGAACAGACCCAGAAATCGTAATCGGTTGGGCTCAAAAGCGAAAAATTTTCCTACCTTATCGAACCTCCGAGCCTCAAAGGACGTCAGACACGAAGACTTGAACTCAGACAACAAATTCCTCTCCACAACAGCCAACTTCACAAGCGTCTCCGCGGCAGACTTCCTCGCAGCCCAATCTTCACTACTTAAGAAATCAATCACGCAAGGGATCAAATTTAACAGAATATTATGACTGGAGGCACCTCCGACGCCAACAATGCTGCCAATGAGCGACAACAATGCCGGTTTTGCCTTAAAGCACTCACTCTTAAGCACCTTGAAGAGCCTTGGGAGAAGTTTCTGCAGTTGCGCTGGCTCAGGATCAGGCGAAGCGTCGATCGCGGAGGCCAGGCAAAGCGCGGAACCGATCTGGCAATTGTAGTCCTGCTCAAGAAAAAGAACCTCCGTCAATGGCTTCAAGAACACAGAGAAGGGAGGCTTGGTGATCTGTGAGGCCATCGCCGTGACGGCATCGACGCAAGCCGAACGGACGGCTGAATCGGGGTCTCTGAGGCGGCGGACTATGTTGGCGAGCATTTTAGATAAGAAAGGAGAGAGAGCGTCACCGTGTGTCTCTGAAAGGAAGCCAAGGAGACGGACGCATTGCTTACGGACAGGAGTCTTCTCGGAGGAATCAGTATCGTAGATGCAAGTGAGGAACGGGGAGAATGATTCGTGAGTGAGATTCCGAGCGATGGATTCGAGTTCGGAGGTGGCGATGGCGAGAGTGTCTCGATCAGAGAGCTTGTTGAGGCAGGTAATGACTCGCTGCTTCAGATCCCTAATGGAAGCGTTTTGGGGTGGACTCAGGGAGGATCGTTTAGGCTGAGACATTGCGGGAGACGGGGAGTAATGCATGTCGAATGCCGGCATTGAGGAGGGTTAGGCGAGCCGCTCAGATTGAAAGCGGTGGTGCAGCCAATATATCCGGCAACATCGGTGGGCCTCTTCGTCTTCTGGACGGTTAGTTCAGATGTTGGTCGGTTGTGTCTTGTATGGGTTCGTTCCTGTTTCGCTCTCGCTCTCTCTCTCTCTCTCTCTCCTCTCTGTCAATCTGTCTGTGTGTCAGTCGAGAGACGATGGATGCTTTTAAACTTATATATTTCGGGAGGAGAGACGGAGGACGTGGGAAGGAGGGAGGGAATAGTGAAGGCAGAAGCCAAGTAGTATTATTTTTCACTTCACTCAATTACAACAAAAAGCCGGTTTGTTCGTTCGTTTCGTTCGTTCGTTCGTTCCCATCATCTCTCGCATCTGGACGACTTAAGCACCGCTGGAAAATTCTTTTTCTTTTTTATTTTTATTTTAACTAATAATTCTGTTTGTCCGGTGACCGGTAAATAATATTTAATTACCAAATATGTACTTATGTAGACTTTCAGAGAGAGAGAGAGATCAAATTTCAAATTTGTATTATTTATTAACAAGCCAAAATAATTAATATAATAAAAAAAGGAAATTAAGAGATGGACTTTAAAACGGAAACCCGTTTTGAGGAGAAAATAATAAATGCCAAGGATAAATTTGGGACTTTAGCAAAGTTTAGCAAGAAGACTTTAATAAAATAATAAATGTTGGTAATTATAAACTGCACGGAAGAAAATAAACAACCACGTGACAGTAGTAATTGTTTAATTGACTGAGAACAAGTAGTAATTGTTTAATTGACTGAGAACATTATCAAACACAAACCCTTCGTCTCTCTCTCACTTAGTTCCCTTTCGGTTATTGGTGAGGTTGAATCAGGGGGAATCGTGGACCCATTAGTTTGGTGGATGGGGTCATGCGAGGGAGAGTGACCATCTGATCAAAGGAACACCTTCTGTTTGACACTTTGACCCCATCTAGGATTGGGATCACTGAAATTGGTGACACATCTAATGGTATAGATCTTAAGTTTCCTAGTAGTCCTACAGTCTACCTACCAACGTGTGCTGGTTTGAGTAGAGGACACCTTTTATTTAAAGCTCTAGGGAAATAACCCTGTTGAATATTCCTTTCTGAGAGGTATTGTTTGGCCATTAATTGCGATACTTCAGTTGATTCATTTTAAATAACTACTGCTGCTGCTGCTATTACTATAATGCCAATTAATGGGTAATTATCTCCTTGTTTCCATTGGATTGGAATATCAAAATGGCTCCTCGTATTAAAAGATTTGGCTAGTGGAATTTTGAGCCCATTTGACTTTTTAACTGGTTGGGGAAGGAGGAAGAAGCCCGTGAATTTTATTAAGAACATAATCAATGTAGATTCGAGGAGGAGAGAAAAGAAGTGATGGAAACTGGAAAAAGGAAGTAAAGAAGGAAATGAATATAATTATAGCTGGATATCCCCTGACTTTATGGGGAAAATGGTGACAGTGAATAAGTTAGATTCATGTGAGCCCATGAAATGAAAAGCAGTTTTTTCCCCCTCTGAGATCCTGGTTGAGCCTGACCTGTTATTATCCCAATTGCAATTGGGTTGGCTTTTCCTGAGAAAATGAAGTTTCCTATACTCAATTTTCTCTGAGAATTTTCTTTCTTTTATTATAGGTAGACGGATTGTCTCAAACTTTGAAAGCCCACCAAGAAATTTCAACAGAGTCCTGTCGAGGTAAGCATCAATTGTTACAATGCGGCCACTCCAGTGGATTGGAGGCCCAATAAGATTTCATGTGCTTACTTCATCACCCTCCCCTTTCCTCATGTGATGATACTGCGGTCTGATGTTCATTTCCGTTTTCTATCTGAAAATGGATGAATTTCTAATTCAATGCTTGATTTTGCATTGTTGGCAGAAGAAGATTTTTGATATGATGCATACCAACTGTGGGGGAGGCTGACGTAGACTAGACGGCAAAGACTTGACCAGCTTTTTAGAGGATTTCATTTCATGTTCAGTTGGGTGTGGAAAGGAAATGAAATGGCATGGAATTCTCCCCAAAAATTGATTCCTCGGCAGAAGTTTTCTTGACATATAATATTCTGCTTACCTATACCATTTTAATTAGTTTCTTCAGCCAGCAAACATGCTGACTTGGAAGAGCCAATTTATTTCATAAGCTCTACGTGTGTTGCCAAGTGTGGAGATACTTGTAAATTTGGGAAAAGGTGACGTGGCAAATTATCTAGTGATATTGGGTTGAGTAACGACAGCTTTATTCCTACAGCCAACAAACATACTGTACTTTACAAAACCTTGATTGCTTATGTTTGTTTCTTTATTTGGTTAGCTTTAGATCTTTCATGTCTGTTAGGTCAATATTAATTCAATAAGATAAAAAGCTCCCCTCGTATCCTCTTTTTTCCATTCCTACGTAGAACTCTCTCTCTCTCTCTCTTGGAATTTGCAACCTAAAGCTACGTTTGGTTTCCCTGTTAAACAAGGAAATGAAGATAATTTTCTAAGAAGACAATACTTGGTAATAAAAAATCAATTTCCGCATTTTCCTTTTTTTTTTTTTTCTAATTTCCACAGTTTCTTAACAAATCTGAATGGTTGAGAAAAAAATGAGTACTAGGAGGACAAATCTCTGCTTGGAAAATGACTTACAAACAGAGTAGAAGGAATGTCATTTTCCTATGACTATCACTTACTTATTTTAAAAACATTTGTTTTAAACAACTGTTTTACATACACCCAGATACAGAAAAGTAACAAATTTTTTTTTTTTTTATTTGAAATGGATGGTTTTCCTTTTAATATTATATATACTTCTGCGTGCAATCAACCAAATGGAACCTAAAACCTACACACGCATAAATGAATATGAAGTGTATACAGGAAGAGGAAGTAGAATTTCTTATAAACACGACATTTATTATTCATCGCCTCTGCCAAGAAAAGAAAAAATCTAGTAGTTAATTAAATGGTGCAAATACTGCAAGGAAAGAGATTATTGAAGATAGCACCATCCTTCCGGTCCCGCATATAGAGAGGTTAGAGGCCCCACCACTGAGTCACGGACCACGTCCTCTGATGTAACAGCAAGTTCAAATGATGCTTAATCACCTCTGCTTCGTAAAAGAAAACTAATTTTCTGCTTTTGTAGAATAGTTAGTTAATATAATCTCTTTTACGGTCAATTTCCATACGATATGAACTCATTAAACCTGTTCTAACTTGTAACCCAGATTTCATCGCAGAGGTCGAAAAGAAAAGAAAATTCTGCTGGTTATAGATTGATAGATAGGAAATGTTCACGGGCTAGATTCCTTGCATGAAAATGAGTCGCATCAACCGATAAACAAGACATGGCTTCATGGATAGCCAGCCATAAGGCCGATAATGAACAACTAAACGGGGGGAATTCACATCTTTTCCCCACAGTATATCTAATACCGTGTATTGGGAACATCTCCTGATAAGTTGGGGATGAGATGTTCCCAATGCACGCTGAAATGGGAATGTGGGGGCATTAATGGGGTGAGACACTAATTAAGCGTAGCAGTCCGGAGCAGGGTCTCAGAACTTAGGTAAACTTATTGGCAGTAAGTGGACAAGAATTGCCACAATGGAAGGGACAAACGGGAACATACTCATTTTATTCTGTTTTGTACACAAGTACTGCAACCTGCTGTGCCTTTGTAATTTGTAAAGTTCGAGTGCATATGAAAATATGAAATTGCTTTTAGGTTACAACCCCCAAAAAACAGTCATTCATCTGGATTTCGGAGGAGCATCATCTAGTATAGCTACAAGGTGCCCATATCATTGGCCCAAGTTTTAAGCGTTAATTAAGGTTAAAAAAGAAAAGAATCAATACAGATTGTTGTCATTGTTGCTTAGAAAAGGAAAGACACAACTGGATGGGTTTTTAGACAATCTGATACATATCTCATAATTACAAGGAATATTCACCGGTTTTTTTTCCCCTCTCTTGTGTAGTTTTCGTTGGAATAATTTAATCTATAAAGAGACAGTAGCACCATTGTTATGGGAATGGGAGGACCTATTAATAAACTGTGTGCCATGATGCATCCTTGAAAAGCTAGTAGCTCCACCCTCCATGTATGAGGTAACTTCAGGAAGGCAGCATTTTCAGGGACAAAAGGTATCTTCGAACAGAACCGTCCGATATAGATTTTGGCTGCATCAGTACTAAAGAAACAATAATTGGAGAAAGCAAACAAAAAAAACTGCAGGTTTAATTCAATTCCTTCCTATAGAGAGGAGAGAGATGAATGGATCAATAGACAGAGAACGTGAGGTTAGAGAGGAAACCGAGATTTTCACGTGAGATAATGACAAATTGGGAACATGCCGATAAGAATCAAAAGCTGGAACATAGGATGTGGCCACCAATAAGGAACTAATGATTAAATTTAATCCAAATTACTCAAATTTCTAAAACTGTATAGCTTCTTATGGGATTAGTTATATTCATCAATGAAATATGAATGAAGAGGGAGTGTATGAAAGTAGGTGGCTGTCAGGACCCAAGAAAGAGGGGAGTGAGAAGATAAGAAGAGTAACAACAGAGATAAGGCAGAGATGTAGGGAATAATGAGTTAGGCCCAATGAGGCGCGATATCATGTTGGTGGGCATGTCGTGTTGGTTGACTCCATGAAAAGCAGACAACACCACCCCACCACCAATTAGCCTCCCGCCGGGTGGCTTTGGCCTTTGGGAGGCTAAGGAGGAGGAGTCACATGCCACATGGGGGGGGGGGGAGAGAAATAATTTGAGATCCGGCCGTCGCTCTTAATTTGCTCGCTTGCTAGCTCCTTGTCCATCCCCCCTGGCCCCTCATGTGCTTGTTTCCTTCTATCACGCGACACGAGCACATGTGGGTTGTGTTTGGCTCTGTGAGAGATATGTATTTGTTTTAAATAATGGGGGCTAACAGGATATATAGATGATAAAAACCAAGGGAGGGGACGGGGGGGGGGGTGTATGTCTAATTGTCTACTAGCAAGAACATTCTCTGTTTTGATGATGTTGTGTAACACGTGGCATGCTTTTAGTGGTACCACGTCTCTCTCCCTCACATGATCAAGTGTATAAGGACTGAAGGATGGATAAATCATATATATATATATATATGTGTATATTTATTTACATGGACCCTACCTGCAGCTGCAGGTTTCGCCATCAAGCCATATTGGGTTCGAACTTTGACGTGGTATATTTGGGTAAAGGACGGGAACATGCAACGTGAA